GGCCTGCTTCCTCGAACCAACCCCCCAGCCCGGAACCCTGAGAACAGATCGCAGGTTACCCCTTCTGCCGCTCCCCTTGAGGCCCTAGATGGCAGCACAAGTCCGGCCCGTGAGGGCGGGGCAGTGGGTGGGCAGGATGGGGAACAGGCACCCCCACTGCCCATCAAGGCTCTCCTCCCATCTGCAAGCACCTCTCCAGCCCTCCCTACTGTCCCCGAGGCCCCGGGGCCACTGCCCTCAGCGTCCCTGGAGCCATCCCTGCTGTCTGGAGTGATGCAGGCCCTACGAGGTCGCCTCTTGCCCAGCCTGCAGCCCCCAGGACCAACCCGGACCCCACCTGAACCCCACACAACAGTCCTGTCCCCAGAGGATGAGGACGATGTGCTACTGGTGCCACTGGCTGAGCCGGGGGTCTGGGTGGTCGAAGCAGAGGATGAGCCACTGCTTGCCTGAGGTGACCTGGCTCCCCTAGGGGCTCTAGTCACAGTGACAACAACCCATTAGAGGGCAGCTCAGCCTCCCTTCCACTTCTTCCCTCCTCAACCCTCTGAGGGGCCTTGGTGGGTAAATGCCATAGGTTAGATGTCCCTCAGACAGAGAGAGGGCTCACACAGAGCTCCCTCTGCACGTGGCCAGAGACCACAGTCTCCGCCACCACCGTCTCCCCACACCACCACCATTCAGGTGGCTGTTTTTAAAAAGTTAAATTCTCAAAGGATCATAGGCCTGGACACTCCATCCTTGCCAAACCCCCACCCAAAAGTGACCTTAAGCACAAGAATGCCAATTGGCTGGAGACTTCCAGCCTCCAAGGGGAGCATTTGGGCAGAGCCTGAACTCAAAAGAAGAACACAACAAATGCTTTTATCCCATAGCTAGGTTATTGCCCAGAAAGTCAAGGTCGAAAATAAAGGAATCAGAATGTAAGATTTTTGTAAATGAGCTGTAAGCCTCAGCCCTGCCTCTCTACCCATCTCAGCTTATGCCCACCTCACCGTGTTCCTCCCAGTGGAGGCCTTTGCTCTGCCCTCCACTTCCTGCCCTCTTCCTATTCATCTTCTAACCACCCACCCTTGATTTTCTATACCACTCAGAGGGTAAGAAAATTCTAGGAACCCTAAGGACCAACCCTCTCCACCTCCACTCACCGCCTAGGGCCCAACTCTACAGCGACTGACACCAGGGGTGAGCACCAAGCCTCTTTACTCACCGCCAGGCCGGAGGTCTGGTGAGCCAGCTGGGCCCTGCACCTGGGAAGGTTCCCATTTATGGAGTACTCCCAGGGCACAGATCCCAGGAGGGAGATTGTCCCTGGTGGAACATGGGAGTTGTGACGCCTGCCTGCCACCCTCCAGCCCCACCAGGCATGCACTTACAGTCTGTCCTAGGCAAGACAGATGAACTTTCAGCCAGGATGCCTCAAAGCAGGCAAAGATGAGTCGAGAGAAAAATCACAAACAATCGGGGTGTGAAAATGCTGACATCACCTTGGTCAAATCCAAGAGGTCTTCTTGGAAGAGGACCCAAACTAGATTCTAAAGAATGCCGTCAGTCATTGGAATAGAATTATAAATTCTAGGCAGGGTGAAAGTCCACAGGATAAGCAAACAAAGCAGATATGAGGGCTAGGGCTGTAGGCTGGACCCTGGACCGTCTAAGAAAAGGGACAGGAGCGCAAGCAGTGTGACCAGAGCCAAAGAACTGGAGAAGGTGATGGAGGGAATGATCTGTGAGAAAGGTTGAAACTCAGACTCTTGGTAAGCAAGGTGACAGAAGCTGTCCCAGTGTTTGAAGTCAAAATCTGGACAAAGGATACAGAAGGAGCCTGTGGGGGTGAGTGTCTTGTCCCAGGAGCAGAGCATTCCTTAAAAGAACTAGTCCCCAGGGAAACGCACCCCCCTCCCTCCCAGCCTGGCCCTTACCTGCCAGGCCTGACCTATCCCTGCCACTCTGGTGGAGGGGCCCTGTCCACATCCTCGCCAGCACTAACTGCATAATGTGCCCTCTCCCAGGGAGCAAGAGCCTAGGGAAGTGGCAGAGGGAAGAGGTCGCTAGGAAGGCCTGTGTGTATAGATTCACGGGCCTGAAAGAAGTTTCTCTAGGCCCTGGGTGTGTGCTCTAGGAGGTGCAAGCAGTAGCACTACCTCTGTCAGACAGAAGCCCCAGGCTGGCAGGGAGAGGGGCTTGGCTTTGTACAGGCAGTATGGGGAAACCAAGACAGAGGGTCCTACCCAGGAGAGGGTGGGGCACTGGGGAGCAGTCACCCAAGTTTATTTTCACCATGGCCCAAGGAAAAAGAAAAGAGGCAACGTCAGGTCCTATCAGGATAGACACTGCTTTCCAAGGTGCCCAGCATCAGGGGTGTGCCCAGCATCAGGGGTGTGCGACTCTCCTCGAGGCTCTTGGTGGGGAGGAGGGTGGTGTTCTCAGCATGAGATGGGATCAGGCGAGGAATCTGAGATAACAGTAGATACCAGAATTCAGTCCTTAAGGAACAGAATCTGGGCCTGGACCAAGCTCCAGGCCCCACTGGGAGGGCAGAAGGACCCCCAGCCACACAGCCTGAAGCTGTGAGAGCACCAAATAGTTGGGCAACCTGCTGAGCACCAGATCATTTATCATATGTAGCTAACCCTCCTAATAAGACTGTGCCATGGGCATCATAACCCCAATTCAGGTCCAGGAGCAGCTTCAGAAAAATTAGGAGACTAGCCTAGTTTCTACTGAGAGAGATTTAAACCTGGATTGGTTCCATTCCAAATCTCATCCTTGTCCCACTGTTCCACAGGACCTCCTATTCCTGAGGGAGCCTGGACATGGGCAAGTGCACAGCTTCTTACTAGTGGGACGAGAGAGATGGTGGTTAAGGTGAAACCCAGCCTGCCCCTGTGGCCTAAGGCTGCATTGAGGGCAGGCAGAAGTCATGGTCAAGAATCCTTGTTGGGGTCTGAAGCTCCTCACTCACCCTTACCTGGTATCATAGAAATGAATCCAACCACCTCAGTGGGTTTTCCAGATACATAAAGCTCAGCCTATTACAATTTAAAACTTTTTCTTTTTGAGGAAGATTAGCCCTGAGCTAACATCTGCTGCCAATCCTCCTCTTTTTGCTGAGGAAGACTGGCCCTGAGCTAACATCCCAGCCCATCTTCCTCTACCTTTTACATGTGGGATGCCTGCCACAGCATGGCTTGCCAAGTGTGCATACGTCAGCACCCGGGATCCAAAACAGTGAACCCTGGGCCACCGAAGCGGAACATGCAAATCTAACTGCTGCGCCACCGGCTCGGCCCCAATTTAAAACTTTTTAAAAAATTCATCTTGGAAGGAAATCATTCTAAAACATTACACTCATCTTCGGCACATCTGTAATACAATATAGATTTTTATGGATAGCTGAGGATCATTCATAGAAACCAATGGCTCTCTGTGTTCAGAAAGTGTAACAGTGTCAGGGAAGCTGTTTGCCTTAATGCCAAATGACCTTAGACCACTTTTTAAATGCTTCTGACCGTTTTAGAGGTTTTTCGTGGTGTTGCTACCCTTGCTACAGGGCTATCAGGAGTCACTTGCTGTTCTAAATGTGCTTCTAATCTATGAATCCAGGAACACACATGGACACATTAATATGTGAATAAACTGAGGGCAACTAGGCTGTGATTGAGGACTGGAGAGTCCAGCCAATGAATAAAGTGCATGTGTATTGTAGCTGCTCCCTCTAGACCCCACAACGTTGCCTCATAGTTGACTTCCAGATAAGTGAAGTGTCACTGCACGTCAGTCCCAAGAGTACTCTGCCTCTTCGATTGGACAAGTCCACTGAAGATTGCAATATAGATTGTTCCCAATAATAGGAGACAGTTGGAATATTTAAGACAAGGAAGGCAGCATGGCAGAGAGATGAGAAACAGTCTTTGGCACTGGAAAGATCTGGTGTCCCCTTTCTAGCTGCATGATTGGTTTGGGGACAGCCCACCCACCTACCACTCTGAGCCTTAGGATTATGAGGATGAAAGGAGATAAAGGTGCTTAGCACAGCCCCTAGCAAAAATGGGGTGAGAAGGGGCCAGGAAATCGGAATGTGTGTTGGGTGCTTGTAAGTGTGTCAGGAAGGAAGACAAAAATGGGAGCCTGAAGGGAAAGGGAACGGGCAGAAAAGGAGCAGTGACGGAGACATGTCATCCTGGCTTCCCAAAAAGAGGTAGACATCACGTGTGTCCACTTTGCCTTGTGTAGCCCAGAAGGCCTGGTGGCTGCCTCATCTACCCCAGAGAACACTGGGAGGGGAGGCCGGCACTCCCCACTCCCCATTTGGGATTAGGAACCTCTAGAGGGCTAGCTCTGGTCTCCCTTTTTTCCTGCCCTGATGAACACTAGGTTGGTGGGCCTAGCAGGGAGGGAGACAGGAGGAAATCCCCCCAATGGTTTGCGCCCACCTGAACCTATTGACAAAATGAAGCTGCCTGGACAAAGCAGCCATCTCTTTCTCAAAGCCCCCATCTGCCTAGGGGTCAGGCTGGGAAATGGGTACTTTTGTGGGTTTTAGCCCAGAAGAGGTGTTAATGGGGAAGGAGAGGATGGCAGGGAAGCTTGATGGCAGGGTGACTGTCCCCCTGTCCTTGCATCTCTTTTGGTTTCTGCCTCTAGCCCCCCCATTTAGCCATGAGCACCCACTCTGAACTGGACACTGGGCAAGAGGGCTGGATACAGAGTTGAACGACGTCCTCTGTCCTTGCCTCCTGCCATCCTCAGCTCCCTTACCCACTGACCCCTTGCCCGACTTCTCTGAACCCTGTTTCTTCTGCCTCTCTGACTGTTCTGTTCATGTCTTAACCAGATTCCACAGTGTGTGTGCTCCCACAGGGAAACGACACAAAGGAGGGGGGGCAGAAAGGAGGGAATCCCATTGACATCACTGCTCATTAGCATGTGTGACCTCATCAGGGGGCGGGCCAGTTTCCCCAGGTGTCCAGGGGAGGGCACAGTTGCGGGGGGGGGGGGGGGAAGCTGGGGGGGTGGTGGTTGGTATTTAAAGGGAAAAGCTGACAGTGCTGCTGAGTGAGGGAGCCGGTGCTGCGATCCGCCAGGCTGCACACGCACACGCACACCGATGTACACGGACCTCGACACCGACATGGACACGGACACAGAAACCACAGCACTCTGCCCCTCCGGCAGCCACCAGGCCTCCCCACCAGGGACGCCCACACCAGGTGAGGGCTGAGCTGGGCAGGTTCCAGCTGAAACCATGGGAGTGGGAGCTGAAGCTTTGGTGGGGAGGTCAGAACCAGGGGTTGAAGGAGCTTGAACCTAAACAGCAAGAGGGAAAGAGCAACTCAGGAAGTGGGGGGGCCTCCCTCGGACACTAGGGCTGGGGGTGGAAAGGGGGTGCTGCCTAGACGCTCCCTCCCCCATCCCTCCCAGGGCTTCGCTGGGGAAAGTGATGCTTAGCCCCTAGGTCAGCCTCATTCCCAAGAGGATGGGACGGGCAGGAGGGAAGAGAGAAAGGGAAGGGGCAGCCCACAAACCAGGGAATCATGGGCAGGGGGCTACCCTGGGGACCTGTTGTAAGGGTTTCTCTGGCTCCTAGAGGCCCTGGCTGCTGGCCAACTATTGATTGTGGGCTATTTCCAGCCTCTCTCCATCCCCCTTTGTTGTGTTTGTCATTCCTTCTCAGTTCCCCTGACCCATGCATTGTCACTCTCCCTCTCCCTCATGCTCCCGCTCTCTCACTCTCTCTCTCCCTCCCTCCCTCCCTCGACCACACCATGAACACAATATTCTCTCAGACTCACAGGGACAGCCAGGGATGCAGGAGGATTCTCACACACAGCCATGCACTTGGGGATGCTCACCTACAGGGCCACAGGAAGAGGCATCCCCTCTCACACACCCATAGAGACCCGATACACACATCTGAGAGAGCAAAGCTCCTTCCCTGGGAACAGGCTCCCCACCAAGTTTTTGACTCTACCAATACCCACCCCCCAGAACTTGGGCAGAGGCTTCAGTTTCTCATCCCCTGTGTGTCTCATCTCCCCAGTGTGGGGACTTCCAGTGTAGGAAGCAGTAGGGGGCAGGTCCTCTTGGCAGAGGAGGGGCAGTCCTGGGGCCAGAGGCCTAGGGCTGGGGGTGTGCCTCTGTGTCAGTGTGAAGTGTGAGTGGGTGTGTGAGCCTACCCACAGGTGCCTCCCCTGCATGGGGCTTGTTTTGAATAGGTTGTGGCTGAAACCACATTGGGCAAGACTTTAAGTCAGCTCCTTGGATCCTCACCAGTTCAGGCTTCTGGGGGAATTCAGTGTAAGAGGTCAGACCAAAGATTCTCAGCTCCTTCTGGGTCATGGTCATTGACTGGGCCTCTGAAGCCAGAGCAGCCAGGACTGAGCCCTCTGCAGATGGCTAGGCATACCCCTCTCATAGCTTCCTTCTCTTTGCCCTGCCAGAAACAGATGCCACACTACTGAAGAAGCCAGAGAAACTGTTGGCAGGGTTGGACCGGGGCGGGCCACCCCTTGCCCCAGGGGCTCCCAGACGAAGAGGCAGTATGCCTGTGCCCTACAAGCACCAGCTGCTGCGGGCCCAGGCTGTAGATGAACTTGACTGGCCACCTCAAGCCTCATCCTCTGGTTCCTCTGACTCCTTGGGCTCAGGGGAGGCAGCCCCAACCCAAAAGGATGGCATCTTCAAGGTCATGCTGGTGGGGGAGAGCGGCGTGGGCAAGAGCACCCTAGCAGGCACTTTCGGTGGTCTCCAGGGAGACAGTGCTCATGAGCCGGAAAACCCAGGTATTTGGGGGAGCCCTGCAAGGGTTGAGGGTGTCTCTGGAGCCCCAGTCAGGGATGGAAGAGCTCAAGGTGTGAGCAGCCCCTGGAGGCCAGAATCTAAGAGATGCTGTTCCAATGCTGTCTGTGGCAACCTTCCTGGAGGGGGTCCCTGGTGCTGGGATCTGAGGCATCCCTGATTACCAGGTCTCACAGGTGTTGGGGAGCCTCTTAATGGACTCTATTCCCTGTCTTTATTTCCCGACAGAGGACACCTATGAGAGACGCATCATGGTGGATAAGGAGGAAGTGACTCTAGTTGTTTATGACATCTGGGAACAGGTGAGAACTAAGATGTGGCTGCAAGCAGGGGACAAAACCTGGGACAGCTGGGGAGGGCAAAGACTGGCTGAAGGCTGGTGGGACTGCAGGCCCTGGTTTCAACATGTACTGGAACCTGACTTTTCGTATGTATCAGCTCATAGAGCAAAGGCCCACACCAGTGTGCAAATCATGGCATTCGAGAGCCACTGTCTTTCCAGGATCTTCTGCCCCGGAGGCAAATTAGGACCTGAATTTGACAAATCCTGCAGCTGCAAGCTAGGCTGAACACCCTGCAACTGACCCCATCCATACACTTTTTAGCCTAGAAGAGTCTGATCTGACAGGACAAGAGCTCAGGGCTCTGGAATATCAGGGAAGGAAAAAAAAAAAAAAGAGTGAGGACTTGGGGATATTTGGATACAAATGGTTACTGTGTAGAAATGAGAGGCCATATTACATACACTTGAATAGCATTCATTTTTTAATTAAGAGTTTAGGCATAAGAAAGCAGGAAGGGCTACCCTAGTCTAGGATCCTATGTCCCCAATTCAGTTCTCCCACGTGGGGTTCACATTACAAACTTCTCCTCCTTCCACAAGCACACTCTGGGTATGGAGATTCCGCCATTACCCAGCTCTGCTGACCCAAGCAGGTGGCTTCGCCCTCACATCCTGATTCCTCATCCTTGAGATGTAGGTCCTGGACAGGTTCTCCCATTCCTCCAGCCCTAACATCCCACGACTCTCTCCCCATCTGCAGGGAGATGCAGGGGGGTGGCTGCGGGACCACTGCCTTCAGAACGGGGATGCCTTTCTCATCGTCTTCTCAGTCACCGACCGACAAAGCTTCTCCAAAGTTCCAGAGACCCTACTTCGGCTCCGGGCTGGGAGGCCCCACCACGACCTGCCTGTCATCCTTGTTGGAAACAAGAGCGACCTGGTCCGCTCCCGGGAGGTTTCACTGGAGGGTGGGTATCCTTCCTGAACCTTATCCATACTTGCAACCTCATAGGACCCTCTCCTTTCCAGGTCATCTTTTCTCCAAAAGGCCCTCACGGGTGCACAAACTCAGCTGCATTTGGCCCCAGATTAAGAGTAGACTCTCAATGCCCACACCTGGGCCCCTGAGAAGCCCTTCTCTTCCGTCCCCCTCACCTCTTCTGCAAGCTCCCTTCTCCCGCCCCTCCGCACCACCACCGCCCTCCGCTTGACCCCTGCCTTGTTCTTACTTGCCCCATCCCTTTCCACTGCACTCCCGCGACCTCCCCAGGTGTCCCCCGCCCCCACACCCCCGCCCCGCCCCGCCCTGTCCCGCCGCGGGCTCAGTGCAGCCCGGCGGGCGCCTGAACCGACCCCTTCCTGCAGAGGGCCGCCACCTGGCAGGGACACTGAGCTGCAAGCACATCGAGACGTCGGCCGCGCTGCACCACAACACGCGGGAGCTCTTCGAGGGCGCGGTGCGCCAGATCCGGCTGCGGCGGGGCCGGAGCCGTGCCGGGCGCCAGCGGCCAGAGAGGGGCAGCCCCGAGGGCCCCGCGCCGCCCGCGCGCCGCGAGAGCCTCACCAAGAAGGCCAAGCGCTTCCTTGCCAACCTGGTGCCGCGCAACGCCAAGTTCTTCAAGCAGCGCTCCAGGTCGTGTCACGACCTCTCTGTGCTTTGAGCAGCGGTCGCCATGGTCACGCGGTCGCCATGGTCACCGCGCCTCGGCTCGCGCTCTTGCCCCGCCCCTGTCCGGCTTCCTTTGTGAAGACCGTCTAGGAAACCAAAAACTCCCAGGACGCCCTGGTATGGCCGCGCGGGGCGGGCCCAGGCCCCGGCGGGGGAGGGGCCGGCGGATGTCCCCCCCCCCCCAGCCCCGCCCCCGCCGTCGCGCATTCTCTGGATACCTCCCGCCGCAGAGCGCCTACAAGGCTAGGACGCAGACCTGCGGGGGCGCGCGGCGGCCGGTGGGCGGGGCGGGTGCCGGCGGGCCGGAAGGAAAATAGTGCTGCAAGGTATTTTGTTTTTTATTAATTCGCGCTTGACCACCTGTCCTGTAAAGAGATCCTAAAAGCGAGAATTGGCAAAGTGCTTTGTAGACTCCTTTACAGTTTTCCACCTTTGTACTCTGCGCGAATATGCCTCACCTTTAAGAGAGTCTTAAAGGTAATGACACGAAGACGCATCTTTGGGACTTAAAACGTTCTAGTGGTCATCTGCTGTGCTTCTCCACTTTCCCTTTAAGGAGTTCTTAAAGGCGAGGGCCTGGAAGTGCTATTTTCCAGCGTTAATTCTGTGATTTACCATGCCATCATGGCACTTCCCCTTTAAGGTTATTAAAGGTAAACTGGGGACCCAGTTCTGCCTTCAGATGCCAGCGTGAAGACCTGAGCCGGTGGCAACCCTGCTTCGGCTAGGGCCCAGGAGGCACCAGCAAGGGGGCCACCCTTCCCTTTTCAATAAAGAATTTTTCTACGGCACTTGCTCACTTTGACTCTCTGTTGTCAAAGCCCCCACGGAAAGAATGGATGTTGATAGAAACTGTTGCAGACGAGAAAATTCAGGCCCAGAAGAGCAAGGAACTTAAATCTCTAGGGAGGCTCCAGAACTGACTTAGTCCTGGCGTGGTCCCTAACAGGGGGCCACCGGCCCTTATTGATAATTGAGTCCCCTTGCAGATGAGAAAACAGTCTTGGAGAGGAGCAGGGACCTGCTAGAAGTAATTTAGTAACTTAGTGACACAGAGGGAGGGACGAAGTCTCCAGTCTCTAGGCCCCATCTCCTTACCCCACCTTATCTTGCAAGGAGCCAGCTGGAGGCTACATTTAGGGCCCGGAGCTATACTCAGCTATGACCTGGGCTGGTTGAGGGTTTGGCCCCCATCCACCAGGGAGGCTCATCAGCTGGAGCATAATGGGGCCGGTCTGCACCTCCCCTGACAGGGCCCCATCACCCCAGCTGTCACCTGTAAAGCCCGTGTGAGAACTGAAGCTGTCAGTGCCTCCCCTGGGGACGCCCACGCCTGCTGCTGCCGGAGCCACGAGTTTGAACAAAGGGAGCAGAGGCAGCAGCTCCACTCATCCCTAGACATACATTACAGCTACCTGAGGGCCAGGCCTCCACTCCACCCCATGCAGGTCCCCCAGAACTTGATGGAAAGAGGATGAGATGTCTCCTGAGTCCTTGCAGCTGCGGAGGAGCCAAAAGGGACCAGCTCAGCACAAGTGGTTATAAGATGATAATATGAATAATGACACTATCCTTAGGACTTTATTCACTTTGTCCGTTAATTCTTTAATGACATAAGGTTTTACTACCTCTTTTACTGTGGAAGAAACAGAGAGTTTAAGCAACTTGCCTGAGGTCAATAAGGAACAGAGATGGGATTCCACTCATGTCTGCCTGATACTTAATGGTGACTTTATCCAGCTTTGCATCTGAGGTTCCCCTTCCGGTAAGGATGGGGGGAAGATGAAGGACAGTAGAAGAAATGCAGACAACATGATGGGCGGGGTCATGGGCAGTGGCTGTGGTGAAAGGGCCAGAGAAATTACATGGCTCTAGGGGAATAAGCCAGCTCTGAACTCTGGGGATCATGAACAGAGGCAGTTCAAATTTTAAAATGCAGGAAAAAACACTGGTCCCATTAAGGGACCAGATGGTTCTACAGTTGGGTTGAAGCCTCAGGGACATGAAGAGGCGGGGTAAGAGAAGGTTTGGAGCCCTACTGCAAAGGACAAGGCAAAGGAGTTTGTAACCAACTCTGTAGGCAGTGAGAGTCACTGAAGGTCTCTGAGTGTGGAAGTGACATGACCAGGATGGTCCTCTGGGAAGAGGAAGCGGGAGAGGTGTGCACAGATCAGATTGGAGTAGCAGAGGCAAGGCCTGTGGAGCTGAGCTTAGGGACCAATCACAGTAAGGCATATGGGACAGCCTGCAAGAAACAGCAGTGGGAAAGGAGGGGCCAATGGGAAAGGAGCGGTGGCATGGGTTTGAGAGTCAGAATTGATGGGACTTGGCAACTGAGAGGCTGGGTATAAAGAAAGGAAGGAGTCACGGGTGGTGGGAGGATGGAGAGGAACTAGGAGTTAGGGGGCGGAGGAAGTAAGGGGTAAATGGCTCCATTTTGGAGACTGAGTTCGAGATGCTAGAAGAATATCCACATGGAATTTCAGCAGCTCCCTGGACAGCTGGGTCTGAAATTCAGAACAAGTGAGGGCAAGAGACGGCTATGAGAATAATCACCATAAAGAGAAGCTGGAGGGAAGGATGAGATGCAGGGCTGGCTTCATGGGTGCAGTCACAGAGGGTCCCATGGTTAGTTTAATGCTCTCACTGTCTTGAAATTGTTTGAAAAAGGAGTGCTGCATTTTGATTTTGCACAGGGACCCACAAATTATGCTGAGGAAGCTATAAAGGGAGAAGGTGCAATACAGGCTGGGAGCCTCAACCTCAAACCACACATGGGTTTAGAGGTCTGTGATTCCTGTGAAATGGTACAATCTGATGAGTTAGTGCAGTCATGCATTTGTCCGAGAAGAGGGTTCATGGATTCTATCAGATTTCCAAAGGGGTCTGACCCATTAAATTACAAACCAGGATGGTACTGATTGGTGCTGGGAAGGAGAACTGGGTGGGTGGAGGGCAGGGGTGGGAAGTTTACTTTTCATTGTATTCCCTTTTTCTAACTCTTGAATTTTTAACTATGGCATACCTTACCTGTTCAAAAACTAAATAAAATAATTTAAAACAAGTCAAAGACTTGGTGTTCCAGAGAAAGAAGACAGACCAAACAGAGATTCCTGAGGATAGGCAAATGAGGAAGGGAGAGATGCAGCCCCCACAGAGGCGGTGGAAGAACCAGGATGGAGCATGTAGTGGCTACTGCTAAGGAGGAGGGTTTTGCTAGAGGAAGAGTACCACCAGTGGTCAAATGTGTCAAGAGGGGAGGATGAGGAACAAGAAGGCCCAATGCCTTTCGTGTGGTAGAAGCTTAAAATGTTCATACTGAAGATGATGATGGCAGGATCTCCCCATGAGGGGAGCCACACACACCATAAGCCTCCCTCCCCCCAACTCAGCCAGTCCCATCAGCCGACCCATCTGTGTGTTCCCTCCAGACGCCTACAGGGAAGAGCTCGGAACAGACGGAAGCTGAAGTCACACTCCCGCCAGACTCAGGAGAGGTGGAGTCTTCTCTGAGAGCCAGGCCATTCCTCTCTCGCCCTCTGATGAAGGCCAAGTAGGGCCCGGCTGCTTGGTCTGGACTCTTGGGAGATCAGCACAGGGCCAGGGCCGGAGCTGCCTGTGCCAGGTGAGGTCCTCCCTGCCCTCATGATCCTCTTAACACTGCAATTTTGTCTTGGGGTCTGTGCCTCTTACCACCCCAGCCCCTGCCCACTCCCCTACGGCCATGCCCCCTGGCCCAAAAGGCCTCCTCATTGGCCAAGAGCATAGACTGTGTATGTTTTCCCCTGAGGGGCCAGAGGTGAGGCCAGTCCTGTCTTGTAAGGTATCCCTCTGCTCTGGGCCTCTGCTTACATTTGGGCCATTAGGCCCTGATGCATCTAACCCTCCCTAGAGAGAGACTGGAGCAGGGGCTCTCCTTTTCTGAAAAGCTGCTGGAGCCATGGAAGGACACTTCACAAGTCTTCTGTGTTAAACCTTCACTCCCAGAAAGGCCACTCATATGTACATCTTTTTGTTAATCTAACATGGTTCCAATCCACATCAGTCAAAGTAAATTTTTCCTGGACATTTTTATCTTTCATCCACAAATACTTGTTGTTCCCCTCAAGTACTGCCACATGTATCACTGTGCTGGGCCCTATGGGGAAAAAAAATACAGAGAAGATACTATCTCTGCCCTTAAGGAGCTTACAATTGACCTGGAGAGACAGAACAAGGCAGTGACAGCACTACCATGGCCAAAACAGCAGCAAACTATACCATAATCTGACCATCTAGCACCATCATGTGCTCTAAGAATCTCTAAGAATGAAAGAAAAAACATTTAGAAGACATATTTTAGGAATTGGGCCTTGAAGGATGTATGTAGGCTGTAGATAGATTGGGGGAAAGAAAGAAAAGAAACTCTGTGTGATGAAACATGAGGAAATGCATAGGAGAAATGGTGGGCAGCCCACCACATGATGAGGTAAAGACCCTCTCTAGACAGAAGGCAGCAAAATTTGGCCGGATGGTGCAACCAAGTTATCAAGGGGCGCCAAAACCAGACAAGAGCATCCTGCTTCTTAGTCCTTTATCATTTGGTGGCTCTCTGATGGATATGCTCAAGGACCCTTTTCATCTACTTGAATCTTGATGTCATGCCTCCGCAGCTTGGTGGCCTTGTATAGTCAAGATGTGAATATAAATTCAGTGGAGCCTCGCAAGGGTTTTAGTTAGCACTGAGGCCCACTAGTTCTGGATGGAGGTCTGTGGACAAAGCCACTCTTAACCTCTCTTTCTGAACCTCAGCTCTCCTAACTATAAAATGAAGATAATAATCCCTACTTTGTAGGATAGTCATGAGGACTAAATACAAATGCAAATATCTTGGGCCAGGGGCCAGCCCCGTGGCTGAGTGGTTAAGTTCACCTACTCTGCTGCGGCGGCCCAGCATTTCGCCAGTTCGAATCCTGGGCGCAGACATGGTACCGCTCATCAAGCTACGCTGAGCAACTAGAAGAACCCACAACTAAAAAACTATACAACTATGTACCGGGGGGCTTTGGGGAGAAAAAGAAAAAATAAAAATCTTAAAAAAAAATCTATCTCAAATATCTTGGGCCAGCCCCAGTGGCCTACTGGTTAAGTTCAGTGCACTCCACTTTAGCGGCCTGCGATCAGTTCCTGGGCATGGACCTACACCACTTGTCTGTCAGTGACCATGCTGTGGTGGCAGCTCACATACAAAAAGAAGAAAATTGGCAGTGAATGTTAGCTCAGGGCTAATCTTCCTCAGCAAAAAAATAAAATAAAAATGCAAATATCTTTGAATGTGTCAAGTATGAAACAAACAAGCAGTGAAGTAATGCTTTTGCAAGCTGTGACTTATTCAGGCACCTGGGCAGCTTGCTAACCTCTCAAAGCACAGCATCACTCTGGAGATACAAATTTAAGTTGTGGTCCACATGGGCCAACATGCCTCCCATAGAACTCACAGGTAACCTGTCATTGGATCTTTTGTTTGGGGAGAATTGAGAAGATTGGCAATTTAAGCCTAAGTGATGGTATTACACTGCACAATTTTCTGCTTTTTGCTCAAATTATAACTTGTCTTCAGGCAGAGGACCTGTGCTGATTTAAAATACTTATTCGGACAGGAAAATACCAGATAGGGCCAGGTTTAGAGACCAACAAAGGCAGGTGCTATAGGAATGCTTGGGAGAGGTTAGGAGGGATGCTAGGTAAAGGACTGTAATGGAGAATACGCTGGGATTTCCCCCAGCCAGACAAAGCAAAGGGCACCAGGTATCCTGAAGGTACCTGGGGGGGCTCATCTTGATTTTTCAAAGCCGTCTGGTTATAATCTCATTATACAGAGTTTCAGGCATGGAAAGAGCCTGGGCCAGTGGGATTTGTTTTCCTGAAAGCTAGGCCTGTTGTATGTGACCTGGGACCTTGTGAGCCTGGGACTTTAGCCCACGAACAATTAAGGTTTATTTTCACCATTGCCCCACCCTCACCCCACCCTCATTCTCCCCCTCTAAATCTTGCGTGTTCTCTGAAGTTGGAAAGGAGAATGAAGTCAGGTAGAAAGTCAAGTGTGGGGGCTGGCCCCGTGGCCGAGTGGTTAAGTTCACGCGCTCCGCCGCAGGCGGCCCAGTGTTTCGTTGGTTCGAATCCTGGGCGCGGACATGGCACTGCTCGTCAGACCACGCTGAGGCAGCATCCCACATGCCACAACTAGAAGAACCCACAACGAAGAATACACAACTATGTACCGGGGGGCTTTGGGGAGAAAAAGGAAAAAATAAAATCTTTGAGAAAAAAAAAAAAAAAGAAAGTCAAGTGCGTAGGCACCCAGAGGAATGGGAATAATGATGGCTGTAGTAAACACAAGCTAGCAAGTTCTAAGCTATCCACACGTATCATTTCATTTAATCCTCATAACATCCCTGAGATAGGTACTATTGTTATCATTTCATTTTTAGAGATGAGGAGTCTGAGTGAGAGAAGTGAAGTAACACCTAACCTTACTCAGCTAGTTTGTGACAGAAGAGGGATCTGAACCATGCAGTGGTGCTCCAGTGTGAGCATTCTACTACAAGGTTCGGGTCCCTTGGCTTGGTTGGCCCAGGAGTTGGGAGGAGGTGGCTAATTCTCCGCACCACTCATTCCAAACAAGTAGGCTTCACAATACTTGAAAGCTGATTGAAGCTCCCCATCCTTTCTGGATGGCAAGAGCTTGACAAGTCTCTGACTTCCAAGGTCACTGTTTCCTCTTTCTGTAACCCAGCATTGACTGGCTCCTTTCTGATCTTCAGGCACCTCATCCATCTACCCATTGCCCTCAAAAATAACTGCTTAATGGCTCTCCACTAACTCCAGCCAACTCCTTAAGGGCTTTTGAGAGTAGAACATCTGGGACAGCTAACAGACTTCATCCAACTTTTAAAAGTGATCTTTGATCAGCTCTTTTCTTGCCTCCACCTTCCCACATGATCTAAGTTGGTTGGTCTGCTTCACCTCAAACACACAGAGCTCTCTCAACCAAGAGCACGCTTTGAGAGCAAATCAGTTCTGGATACAGAATGCAAAAGTTGGAAGGGAGGAGAAGGGATGTTTGAAGCCAGAAGATTCAGACACACAGCTTCTCCGACCAGAATTCCTTTCCTGCATCCAGCTCATGACTATTGACTTCACCTGGTTGCCATGGAAACATCAGTCTCTGGTGGATGGCAAGCAGCACTTCAGATAGAAAGCATCACAGGCTACCATGGTAACACCAAAAGGAGTAAAGCTGCCTCTTCTCTTAGAGGAGTGAGGAGGGAATGGATGAGGCTGCCAGGGAAAGCACACTAGAAGGGATGGTCTTTGGAAAGCCTGGCTCTGATTTGAACAGAGAGGGATTATTCAATTCAACCGACATGTAATATGCACAAAGCAAAGCAATAATGAAAAGGACACGTCTATGGCTGGCCTCATCAGGCTATAATCATCTAGTAAGAGAGTCTACAAAGAACTCTAAATAAAGGCAGAATAAGACCTATAATAGGACAAAGAATACTGAAAAGGAAAATCAACTCCAACTAGGAAAGCTTCAGAGTCTTAAAGGACAGGATTTTGAGCAGCAGAAGAGGAGCAGGAAGAGAGTAAGATTAGCGGACATGCAAGTGGAAAAACTCAGGGTATACCGAGAACTATAGTCATAGAGATAGAAAAAGTGACACTTCCCCAGGACTCCAAGGCCTTGGCTTCCACAGGAGTGCTGAGAGGCCGGTGAAGATTCAGATCAAGGGATCTGAGCTAGACTGCCTGGATTGGCATCCCAAACTTGCTAACTGTGTAATCATGGGCAAGTTATTTAGTCTCTTTCGGTATCATTTCCTCATTTACAAAGATAAAAGAATTTACCTCAGAGGGTCATTGGAGGATTAAACGATTCAGTACATATGAAGAGGTGAGACCAATGCCTAACCCACAACAAATCCTGCATAAATGTTAACAATTATCATTATACCACCTCCTACCACCTCACTTTTCGGAGCCAGGATCATCCCTTCTCATTGTCTAAGTATTACGTCCCGATTCTCCCCAGACCATTTCCCTAACAGAGCAAAGAGGAGCTGTGATAGAATATCTCCCTTCGAGTTTTTAACTCATTTTCCTTCATCACAAGCACCAGGACTAAAAGCTTCATAGGTCAAACCCCTGCTTCTGCTGTAGCTCAAATTTAGGTGTTGTTGGAGCCTAAGAAGGTAAGCAGAATCCCAACGTCAAGAACATAGCAGTTTAAAAAATAGGGGAAATGCCACTGGCCTTAGTGATGCATAGGCCCAAAAGTCAGATGAAAATCCCATTTAGAATTGAGGACTGGTGGGAAACTCTAACTATGCTGGGAAAAGAAGTGAGTCAGTCTCACCTCTATCCCGCCCTAACCACCACGCTCAGGCAGGAGAGACTGAGGGAGGTTTCTTTTACCTTAGGCTGGGCCCAGAGGCTGTTCACTGCCCCCTTCTCTCCACTCCAGCCACCCCCAATAGAAGGATGAGTAACAACAAGGTACTGACTCACACACACGCAAAGACACTGGCTGTCACCCACTAGATGCTGTCACCTTATATGGGTTAAGACTAGAGTAGAAGTCGTCTTAGACGTATCCTCCCTTCCACCTTTGTCTCTCACCCAGCAAGAGGCTGTATGAGAAACTAAAAACAGGGAGCAAGGAAGGATTGAGGCAGAAGGAATCAAAGTGCAGGAAGGACAAAGTAGGTAGGGATGGAAACATAAGGAAACCAATCAGAGATTGTCCATCTGAGACGGACAGTGGGGCAAGGCCTGTGGGTACTTGTAGTTGGGAAGAGTTCAAGACTGCCCTGCAGAGGCCGGGTCCATAGCCTCAAGATGACTAACAAAAACGGTCTGCACCGTGCTTCTCAGGATGCATCAGCAGTCAAATCAATAACTATAGGGGGACTGGGCCATTGCCAGATGCTCCTACCTAAAAATAATGCATCTGTCCTTCCCTTCCCCCAGGTGCAGAGAGCAAACCAGGATAGGGAAGGTGTGGGGGTGGCAGCAAACAGCAGCAGCAGGTCACACTGCAGCAGCCCAGAAGGATCAAGAGCTAGTCCGGGGTCCCAGTGGCTTTTTATGCCGCAAGTGGCTTCAAGTTGTTAATACTTCAGTGTCACAAGCAACCCTAGAAGCTAACATCACCAAAAAACATCCCTCTGCTTAGAAGTCTGGGAGCTGACAAATTAAAATCTAACAGCAATTATCCATATTTTTAGCATGACAATAATGTTTTAATATTCTGTTGCCATAGACACCAGTAAAGAATGGAGGAGCCCCACAGAGCCCCGCCCATGAACCTCAGACCTTCCCCTCTTGGTTGGCCACTAGCAGGTAAGCCAGGCTCTGGCCAGCCCCTTGTTACAAGGCTTACAAAGCAGGCAAAGTAAGGTGTGCCTCCCCTTCAGCAGGGCCATTGCTGGAACACTCACTCGGCTCCCTGGAATTCGTTGGTCCCAGGCCTGTGTTGTCCCAAGCAGAGCAAAGAAGAGTTGAGGGGACTGACGAAGGAACAGCAGCAGACTTCAGGCCTAGGGAGCCCTGAGATATGATGCTCAAACCCCTGGGATTTCTACTACAAAGACAGCCAAAGGCAGTATGGAGGCCAACGGTCAGAATGGTGAGCCTAGCAAGCTTCTCTGGTACTTAAGCTCTTCAAGATCATCAAACACCCCTAGAGGGGGGTATGGAATGTGCTACTGTCACACTGCCATCTGGTGGAAAGACAAGAACCTGGAAGTCTGTCCAGTGGGCATGTAGGTTTGGAGACAGCAAAGATGAAGACAGATGGAGGAGACCAGAGGGCCAAGAGTGTAATGCAGATAGAGATGGGGAACTCAGCCCAGGTGTGAGCCTTTCCACCATTTTTCTTTCTAAAGGTGGTGAGATAAAAACAAAATTAAGGGGCCGGCCCCGTGGCCGAGTGGTGAAGTTCGCGCGCTCAGCTTCAGCGGCCCAGGGTTTCAGCAGTTCGGATCCTGGGTGTGGACATGGCAGCGCTCATCTAGGCCATGCTGAGGCGGTGTCCCACATGCCACAACTATGAAGGACCCACAACTAAAAATGTGTACCCGGGGGCTTTGGGGAGAAAAAGGAAAAATAAAATCTTAAAAAAAAAAAATTAAAACAAAGCAAAGGAAACAGTGGCATTACAAATGCTTTATATCCCTAGAACCATTCATGGTTTGGGCTCATGAGACGTTAACATCAGACAGACACACCCCACTGACTGAGACCACACACACAGGACAGCAGCAACCCAAACAGCGGGCTCTGCCTTTTGTACAAAGTTTATATATATATATATATATATATATATATATATTTATGTACACAGACACAAGGGTATAAAATCCAGTGAGAAGGGCTCACATGTGCCCAGGTTGGGGCCAGGAGAGGATTTAACAGCTGAGGTGGAGCCCACGATAGAGGCACATGGGAAGTAGTGGAGAGCAGCAGCCTCCCCGCCATCCTCCCACCATGGGCCAAAGGAAGGACAAGTATACAAAGGAAGATGGAGGATACTGGACAGGTACCCCACCTTTCACTAAACTCTTGAATGCCCCTAAGACATCCAAAACGGCTGGCAGGATAGATCATCCCCACATTTCCCAGCAAGATGCTGAGCCCACAGTAGTAGTTCTGGCCAAGCAGAGGTCTAAGGCAGACTTCACAATGCTCTCTTCCAGCACCCTTGCAGCAGCAAGCCAGGACCCTCAAAGTTCACCCCCCTTGGTCCTCGTGGATCAGAGTTCTTAAGGGTTTTGACAAATTGTAAGATAAAGGTAGAGGAAAAGGAGAGAGGTTAGTTCCTTTAGTTAATGCCCTATGGCCTTCCCAACAGAGGAGGAATCGAGGAATCACTAAGAAGTGGTTGGAAAAGGCAATGAAGATCATCCTGGGAGACGACATACATGGAGAAACAGGTGTTCAACGTAGGCGTAGATTCTGTTCTCTTTGACTAGCAGCTTTGCTCAGCAGAGTCCATTCCCAGTAGGGCCATGGGCAGGAGTTCTTCTTGGTGTCTAAGGGTGGCCCCAATTTCCCCAGAGTCAATGCCCATGCTCTCAGGATGGCTTGGTCCACAAAACAGAGAAGAGGCCATGGAAGGGTAGATGTGGAGGAGGGAGCGGCAGGACCCAGAGGCACAGGGAGGCAATGTACTGCACCACCGGTTTACCTAGTGGCAAGGAGAAACAGTGAACAGGAAGGCAAAGGAAAAAGTATTTTTTTAGCCAAAGACTAAAATGAGCTAGCTCCTGAGACTCACATGGTCTGGGAGGTAAAGAGGCTGGAAAGCTGGAAGCACTGGGAGGCAATTGCTTGGGAGGCAAGGTTCAGAGCCGGACTCAGAGCTGGAATAAAGAGAGGCACAGTGAGTCAGTGAGCACAGAGCACTCCTCCTTTCCAGGACCAACCCTTCTCTCCCTTTCCCAAGTCCAAGTCTACCAGTCAGAGCTGTTGGGTTCAGGGCCCCCAAGGGAACTGCTCCATTCAGTTGCAAGGCAGCAGCTTGGGCAGCAGCGGCAGCGGCAGCAGCTGTAGTTGGCAGCTGGATTCCAGACCCTAAAAGGGAAAGAAAAGGTGGGGTTAAGTCCTAACTCTGGACCTAAAATTCAAGCCCATGTTCTTTACTCCAGAGAAACTCTACCTTCTGCCAATTTGGCCATGAGCTGCAAACGGCTACCTGCTGATCCCAGATCCAGCTCTTGGTCTCCATCAGGAAAAGTGATGTCTGTGCTACCATCCAGTCGTTCAGTCACATGGCCAACTCTCATAGGTCGACCGGCAAGCTCAAAGCCATTCAACTGTTCCAGGGCCCGCCGGGCACACTCGGAGTCAGAGAACTACAAGAAATCCAGGTCTTATCAGTCACCTCCTGGCCAGAGGCATGCTCTCAAAGCCCCACTAACACTCCTAGTCCTACTATCCCAGGAAAATTGCATGCTCACTGTGGCACAAACTTTTCCTTCCCAGGGAATGTGACCTAAGATCCCCACCGCCCCCAAAATCGTCCTCTCAAAAGGTCCTTTTCCAACTGACTCACTGGCAATCACTTTTCAATCTTCCAGCTCCACTAAGAACCTAACAATGCAAAAAGTCTATTATCTGTAGGGAGCCTAGCCTGACAGGCTGTTTCACAAATGGGCATATAAAAGGGAAGTAAAACAGGCTGAAAGCCAAGGCTCCTGGGCTTTTATTTCAGTCCTTGACTTGTAAGTTTCAGATTCAGTCAAGACCTAGGAATCTGGAACTCCAGGGCCCAGCCTTAGCAGGGAACCTATCCTAGCGTGTTGACAGCAAGACTGCACCCCCACCCGCCCCCCAGTACTGCTGACTCAGTGACCTGCTGACCAGAGGGCCTCTACTCTCTAGTCCCTTTCATCAGCAGTGCCAGCAGCAGGCTGGCATAAAGAGGATTCCTAGTGTGCTGGTTAAGTGTCAAGAAGTACTGCCCTAAAAGGCAGCAACACAAGGTCAAAAAGGCCCCAGAGAAGCCTTTTCACATCTGAGTCACACAGGGAGCTAGAAAGGGTGCTTGCCACCACGAGCACCACAGCTGGCTTTGTTTACTCTGCTATTACCTGCCCTAAGGCCTCGCACGTGGTACTAACACTTTCTAGGCAGGTGGTGTAGGTGGCCTGCCTTTACTGGATACTTCTGAGGTGAGCAATTCCCGTGGTAGAACACAACCTACCTCCCCTCTGCCCTGCAGGCAACTGTGGGGGTGTATGCTGCCTGGATTGAGCCCAGAAAATATCAGCTTCTATCAGACTTTGTGGCTGGCAGCCAGTCCTCAGCCTGGAGTCACATGGGGCTGGAAGAACCAGTTATGGGAATTGGAAACAATTTTGTTGGAGTGTCAGGAAAAAGTGAAACTTGCCCACTACCAGGTGGCCTTACTAATCTCCCTAGAGTGGTATTTAAACACAAAGATACTTCTCAATGGAGAAACTGCTTCAAATGGGGTAGCAGCACAGCAAAGTATCACTTCCTATTCCCACCTCTATCGTGAAAATATGCCAATTCTATAAAGCACGTCTATAAAAGCCCATACCTAACCTCCCTCATGCCCCCAACCTTTTAGCTGCAGCCTGGAATCATTACTATTACCCAAAGAGCAAGTTGCAGCACCAGGGAAGCTGGCTGAACTCCTGGACACCCCCATACCAGGGCCACTGACAGAGTATAGGAGCAAAGCCAAGATCTCAAGCAATGCACTCATCTCAAGGGGCAGAAGGCTAGTCCAAGCTTCAGGCACCAGGGTTTATAGGTCATTTAGACAGTTCCTAAAGGAGGAGGATGAAGCTAAGCTGCAAAATCAGACAAGTGGATAAACCCAACAAAAATTAAAAAGTTGAAGACTAGAGACTCACCGTAATGAAACCATAACCTTTAGAGCGCCCTGTATCTGAGTCCTTCATCAGGACAATATTATCAATCTGTAAAATAGGGAGAAATTAATAATAATCTTCTGGCCAACCCACACCTTTGATCTTTCCTACCCAAATTGTTCTAAACTCCTCTTTCTAGCCACCAATTACATCTCTCTAAATCTTCTTTTTAAAAAGAGACAAAGACTATCCCTTTCCAAAACACCTTTTCTGACTAATCTTACTTAGTCTAGACCTCATTATTTGATTTATGGTGCCTGGCTCATTTGTCCACTGAGCAGTATGAATACAGAGAGAGACAGAGCCTAACTCTCCCAGCATGGAGAGCATGCCCGTTACGATGCAGGCAGTGTATTAATCGTGGTCAGACAGAACAGAGGTACACTCACCCTCCCCACTTTTTCCAATTCCCTTCAGAGGTTTCCCTCAGTTTCTACTCACTTTGCCAAAAGGCTCAAAGATGCCCCGGAGCATGTCCTCGGTGATATTAAAGTGCAGGGAGCCCACATAGAGGCGCATGGGCCCACCACTGCCCTTCTGCAGGTTGTTGGCCATAGCTGCTAGTCGGTTTTTCTCAGCCTGGGGAAGGAGGAAACAATGGGTCATGTCCCACACCTCCTACCTTCAACCTCATCTTTTCATGTCAGTTTCTTAGCCTGCTCACCTGTGAGGCCTGTACAATGATAGGCACCCCCAGCAGCCGCTGCCCGGTCAGCCCAATGGCCAGTGGCACAGACTGGATTTCACAGAACTCCACATAGGCGATGCCCTTAGAACGACGTGAGTTGCGATCTGAGATGATACGTACATCACGAACCTATCAAGGGCAGAAAGGAAATCCTGAGTAGGGCATAAAGGGGATGGTTAGAAAATAGGCTGCTCAGAAGAAAACTAAGGGAGGGTGGTTACCTTGCCAACAGCAGAGAAAAAGTCTTCCAGGTCTCGAGGCCGAATACGGGCAGCTAACTGCATACAGAAAACCGTGCGGGCGTCACGCTCCTCAGGACTCAGATTATCAACTGGCTCCCTAAAGAGTGAGTACGATTTGTTGAGACCTCCCAATACTTGGTCACCGTTCACCAGCTATCCTCAAGCATTACACATTTCTGCAGTTTGGCTCAAACAGCGTTTTATTCATACCTCACAATCCCTAAAAGAAAGAGCTCATTATCCACTCACCTGACTGGGCTCTTCTCTCTGAAATGAGGACTCTTACTTTGTCCATATCTACGCCTACAGAACAGAGAACGACAAAACTGAAAATCACGTCACCCAACTTCATTCACACTGGTCCAATGCTGGGTCTTCCCTCATGAGAAAACTGGAATCCAGCACCTCATCTCACATGTGAACAATACCAACCCTCCAGCCACGGGCTCTCCTGCCTATCACAACAGGTTGTAAGCCCCCACTGGCAGGGATCATAGTGCACTTATTTTACCCAGATTACAATACAAAGGTGATACCCAGTGACAGGTGGCGGACTCCTGTAGCGCACACGATCCTCACGACGCCGGTCCCGACTTCGTGACTCACTACTATGGCGACGATCCCAGCTACGGCTGCGGTGACGACGCTGCCGATCTCGACTCCGGCTCCGACTGCTTCTCCGCCTGTGCCGATCCCGGTCTCGACTACGACTGCAGATGGAAACAACTACTGAGTTTGCTAAAGAACAAACCAACCTGTTCTGGCCTTTAATATATAGCTTCCCTTGTTATCTTGCCATTTACAATAATTCTCAGAACCCAACAGCCCCCAGAATGGCTCACCTGCGCTTTCTGTCCCTGCTTTTACTATGGCTCCGACTCCTCTTCTTCCTGTGAAGAGGGTGTAAATTCTTACCACTGAGAAGCTTTCACGATCTCTCCCAAGGGAAATGAATGACAATAAAGCCAGCATGAAACAGAAAGCAGTAAAAGACCAAAGCCCGAGGACGATCTGGTGGTAATCCACAGCAACTGCACACCACCAACTTATACACAGCGCTGGCCGATGTGAGCAACTGAAGCAGCTTTTCCCCCAAGAAAGCCAAGCAAAAGCTGGTATTTCCCAATCAGATGTCTTCTTGCTTTTTTTTTGAGGAAGATTAGCCCTGAGCTAACATGCCAGCCCATCTTCCTCTACGTTATATGTGGGACGCCTACCACAGCATGACTTGCCAAGCAGTGCCCACGTCCGCACCTGGGATCTGAACCAGCAAACCCTGGGCCGCCAAAGCGGAACCTGCGCACTTAACCGCTGCGCCACTGGGCCGGCCCCCTTCTTACTATTTTATTCAAGTGAAATCTATCAATGCTAGGAGTGACTCACAAATTTGCATGGAAAGTGAAGACTAGCAGATCATTAAACCAAGTCACCACTATTCCCACGACCCAGCGGAGCCATTACTCAAAGTCAGCAGTCTTACAAGCAACCACCTCCCTGTTCTGGCTGTTTCTCCAAAGGACACCGTTGTTTCCCTGCCCCAAGTTGCCAACTAATTCCTTCATGCCACACTCACTTGCTTGCCTCCCCACTGGCGCTGCTCCCACTGGTACCATTGCCACTGTTGCCGGTGCTGCTGGTGCTGTTGGCGGTGTTGCTAGGACTGTCCTCTTTAACCTCTTTCTTCTGTTGCTCATCCTGTGGGGTCTGCCAGGAAAATGTCACAAGGTATAAGGTGGCAGACACATAGATTGCATTGAGCAGAGAAAGAACAGAAGTGGACATGGAAGAAAGCTATGAAATCAAACCTCTCAATTATCTAGCCAGTTTTTGAATACCTGGATCTTCTAACAAAGGGAGTAAGAGGGGAAGGGAGAAAACTACTCAAAAGAAGAGATCACAGTGACAGACTCTGACATCAAAACTTTAGCTACCCACTATCTGTTCCACTGACATTTCCCATGAGAGCGAGAAATGAGAGTCAGGTCTGAGGTACACTGACTTTCTGTGTCACTAAGAACTATGAGCACAGCACTCCTTCCCACCACCACATTATGTGCCCCCGTGTCCCGAGTTTTTGGAACCCTCTCTGAAAGCGTGGCCCTTGAGTATGGGTCTCTGGCAGGGCTTACTAAAAGACAAGGCCTTTCATGAATAGCCACTGTACATTATGTATGTTTATATAAAACTCCAAAAAAGGTAAAAAAGCAGGGAAAGAGGATTTACAAAATGTTGAAACTGATGATCCACAACTGCTTTTTCTCACTAACCCAATTCCAGACTGAGGTGGGGAATATTACCTCCTCTTTTTTATAGGGAGCCTCCAGCATGGCCTCAATCACTATATCGAAGTCATCGGATGCCATCGTAGCAGATCTGAGGAGAGGACATCAACACATAAGAACTTCATTTGTATTTTCCCTCCCCTTCCGGCTCCCCACATTCCCTTCCCCCTCCAAGGGACAGACTTCAGGATCCACAGTTCTGTTTCTTTCTTTTCCTTTTTTTGAGGAAGACTGACCCTGAGCTAACATCTGTGCCCATCTTCCTCTATTATTATATGTGGGACACCTGCCACAGCGTGGCGTGATAAGCCGTGCGTAGGTCCATGCCCGGGATCCAAACCAGTGAACCCCGGCTGCCGAAGCAGAGCACATGAATTTAACCGCTACGCCACTGGGCTGCCCCTACAGTTCTGTTTCTTGAACCCCAAAGGGATCTTACCAGCTGCTGCTTACCCTAGGTTTATTTTTGCACCTTACAGATCTGAAGCAGTTCTGCTTTGTGGCTTAGAAAAGGTCAAGGGTCTAGAAGGAACTGAATATCTAGGCAGAGACAAAATATAACACAGACCCTGTTCTGTGAAGAGAAAATGCGGATACTCAAAATTACTGTTCAGTTTACGATGGACACTAGGCCTCCATTCTACCGTTCAAAATTCTGAATAACTGATTTAAATTTCAATCATAGAAACAGGCACATATTTCCAATAAAAAGGTAAAGATGCAAGACAAAAAATCAGGAATAGGACAAAGCAACACCAGAATAACGCAGATTTGCCCTAAGCTCTTCCCCACATGCCCCAGCCAAACACCAATAATTAGGAGACTTATCATTTAACCATTTTCCATGCGATAGCAACTAAAATTTAGGTAACCCAGAAAGATGACGATTATAACAGGCTTACCTAATCCTTTCTGTCTAGGCAGGCAAAGTAAGACTTCTCACCTCCCCCAGGCTTTCACACCTAGCAATTCTCTCTCTCAAGCCTGTCCACCACAGGTCTACCAAATAAGAAAAACAGAAGATACCAAACAAAATCAATAGGATAAATTACTCAAAAATCACTTGTCTGAAATCACTGATGTACAGAACATGGACAAACCTCAAAATAATTATGCTGAGTGAAAGAAATAAGACCAGAAAAAGCGTACATGCTGTATGAATCCATTTATATAAAATTCTAGGAAATGCAAACTGACCTGGAGTGACAGAAAGCAGATGAGCTGGTTGCCTAGGGAAAGGACTAGGCAGGGAGGGGCTAGGAGGAAAGGATTACCAAAGCGCACAGGGAACTTTGTAGGGTGATGGTTTCATACATCAAAACCCATCAAATTGTACACTTTAAAGCATACGATTTTATTTTACGTCAGTTATACCTCAATAAAGCTGACCCAAAAAACCACAAACCAACTAATCTGAAGAATTCCTATGCAAGGAGTCTAATCACAATCAGACCTTCCATATCCATAAGAGCTTTGTCCTCTTTAAAGCAGCTACTGCATTATCCAACAATGCTGTCCTTGTTGCCCCACAGCCTATTTTGATGACTTAGTAATACAGTAATACGAGTATATTAAAATTTTGTAAGAAATGTAAAAATAATAAGTAATACAAAAATAACAATAATCATTACACTCGCCAATATACAGTACCTAACACTGCTAGGCGCTAGGCTAAACACATTACAGAGATAAGATTCTTCGTAAGAGCTTAATAAAAATTACTTGGAGCCAAATTTAAGGCTTAAAATGGAAATCAAACCAATCAAATCAAATCAAATCAAATAGGTGTGTCTAAAAACCAGTTAATTCAATCTCTTATGATAACACCTTTCACTTATTTAGCAATCAAAGGTAACATATGCTAAAGGCACATATCAGATCCGACACACAGATGAAAACACTGAGGTTCTGTGAACTGCTCAAAGTCACAAAGCTCAAATGGAGTAGCCGACTCTTGATCTGAGGTCTTTTCAAACTCTTTGCCTTTCAGTCACTTTGGCTGTCAAGTCTATACGAATTTTCTAAGTGTCATAAAGTTCTTTATTTTTTACGATCTGCTTTTTCCTCCCCAAATGAAATGCTTCTGATTTCAAGAACTGCTCTTTGTTGAGTGCTGGTACAGGGTAAAGGTATAATTTAACACGTACACAAAAACTTTCACTTAAGTCATCACATGAACCCCATGTATGGAGCAAAGTTTCCACTCAGCAACAAATGAATGAAGCTATCTAAGCATACACATGAATAACATGAGCACATTTCGAAACTTGAAATTTCTCTGGGTTTAGTGTACCTTTCTAGATGTCCGAAAAACAGTACAGGCTCAAAGACCACGCATTTTCAGGTTGGTAGTTTTCAAACTCTCCATGCCCTAACTTATGGGTCAAATCCTACTCAATCCCATCCATTAAAACGCTGGAGAGCCTTCTTCCATCCCCGCTGCAAGAACCGCATTAGGGACCCACAATCATGGCAGTGCCTGGACCTTATCATAGAAGAGTCAAGACCCAAGCCAGCCCTTGGCTCCACTGCTGAAGGAGCAAAGGAGAGTGAAGAACCAGTCAGCCCAGTTCAGGCAGAATTCACCAAACGCTCAAGTCCCAGGGGTGATGGTAGCGCCATCTCCTGGGTCTGGTCACTCAGCTGGACACAAACATCTCCAAACCCAAGGCAGCTTAATTAAGAACAGGAACAATGCGAAAGATAAAAACATTCCCAGTGTTGCTGAACAGGTCAAGGATACGCTTTTTAAAAAGGTCCTATAAGAAATGAATTGGCACCATTCCTGCGAGGGCCAGTGTCCCAATGCTAAAACCTCCTAGGTGACCTCTACGGCCACGGAACGTGTGGTCAAAACATCAAACGGAAAAGGCCACAGAGGCCAACATAGCGAACATGAGTCTTCCAGAGACTGGAGATCAAGGAAGAAATCTCAATTCCCTCATCTCTCTCTGAGCGGTGGCACTAGGCGCTGAAAACCGATCCTACGTGCTCCCTCCCCAGTATGGGAGATCTAAACGTCAGGGCTGCGGGGACCTGGAAAGGGATCCAAGTCACTGTGATCCTTAAAACAGCATCTTCATCGGTAAAGGATGTAGCCACGAGGGTGCCGATCCCTAAAATCGCGCCAACGGACTACACTTAGGTAACGAACTCTCCAGATTAAAGTAAACCAAAAAGATCTCTTAATTTTAAAAGTTTGCTTGACTCTGCTCTTGACGCCATTTTCTGCCTGTGACGTCAGGGGGAGGCGCCGTGCGCCAACGTCACGCATAGGTGACGTCGCGGGGGACCGGGTTTCGGGGTTTCTCACCAGTTCCGGGTCCCCGCAGGCGGGGAGGGCCCGGTTTTCTCCGTTCCTTTGGGTGTGTTGGGGGGCGGGAAGCACGGCTATTTTCCAGGACCTCAGCAGTAAAAGCAGCACTGCAGGCGGAGCTGCTCCTCTTCCCGCAAAATGGCGGCAGCTCCCCCGTCTTCCAGAATTTTCCCCAATCTGCGCAGGCGCTGAGACATTTCAAGCGGTGGAACTAATCTCCCTGGTTTCGCGGTAACTGTCCAAAGTACAGGTTTTCATTGGCTAAAATCCCAAGCATGGGTGGAGCCAAACTCAAATGTGTCTTAGCAACTATCACGTTCCCATTGATTGGCTAACCTTTCCGAATCTCAGGGAAAGCGCTGGGAGCGTCCCTAGGCGGCCTCCCATCCCTCTCATTGGCTAAAGGGCTTGCGGAAGGCGGGGAAACCGGTGCAGGGAACACGAGGTTTGACAAGGCTCGCGCCGTGGGCGGAGTCAACGAGGAGGTGGCGTCCTTGGCCGTCCCACTCTGATTTGTCGAGGGGGTCACGTCGGTCTTCCCCTGGAGAACTTTGCGGACATCGCCTGCATTCGTTTCACGTCGGGAAGGATGCTGGACTCCACACCCACATTCCGAGCGGTGTGTCTACACAACCTCCCGACCGCCCCTTTCCTGCCCTCAGTGCTTGTGACCTAGGAAAAGCAAATCTTGTCACAGATTTCTCCTTTCACACTCTGCTTTATCATCTTTTCCTGGTCCTACAGCTCACATACCTTCAGTTCAAATAGGGGCCCTACACACCTCCCCCTGCAAGGGTAAACTTGAGACAGTTTCTCAGGTGACTCCTTAGGGTGCAGCAGTACTCTCAGCCCTCTAACCAGAAAGAGAAGGAACTGATGTCCACCTTCACGTTCCCAGGGCTTCCAGAACACTGAGACTTCAGCTGCCTAATATAGCTCCCAGAAACAGAAGACCTGTGTTCCAGTCCTGATTTATTAACTTCATAAGATTGTACCAATTACAAATTCTTCCTCTGTAAAATGGAAAATTGGATTAGATGATCTCTTGGGACTTCAAACTCTAACCCTGTGATTTTATGCAAACAAAACAGGTGGCTTCTTGCTAGAGATGCCTGGATGGCTTCCAGTTTCTCTCCCAAGAGGTAACAAGGAGCTGGCAGTGCAGCAGCTAAGGAAGGTGGAAAGGAAGCTGACTTCACTCACTATCCCCATCTTCCTCCATGGTGGCAACCTATGCCTCCTCCCCAGAGCAAAGCCTAATCACAGGTCCTACTGGACAAGACCTCTCTGTAGCTGTCAAATAGGCCTATACCAAGGAGTCCAAGAGTCACCACCGAGCTTCCTAAATAGGAAACAAAGCGGGGCCCCTTTGGGTCTTGGATAAGGGCACAGATCTGAATAGGTTTAAGTTAGGAGTGGGAAAGCAGAGGCAGGGGGCAGCAGGGTTGGAGCAGGGAAGGCCATAAATTCACTTTATTTCTATTTCCTTCCACACAAAACCATCAAAACAGGAACAGAGATGGGCAGGGAAAGGGCTGAAAATTTTTTCAATCCACATGTTCTCAGGGCTATTCCAGGGAGCGCCCGAGGCTGAGTGCATTGGAGTAGCTTCAGATCCAGCACTAATTCCTTGCACTCTGGCCTGAAGTCTTCATAGATTGGTAGCTTGAAACCTGCAATTGATTCTCATCCTTTGCCCACCTTGATGTAAGGTAGAAAAGCAGACTGAAATGCTCCTCTCTGATGGGCAAGGGACTCACAGCCCACAGATGTACTGCACCTTCGGTGCTACAGGAGCAGAACCTGAAGCTGCTTCCAAGGCTCCGGACACTTGCAGGCCAGGCTAGAGGCCAATGGTGTATGAGCGGCCTGTGGGGTTGTGAATAGCAGAACAGACTGGTGCGGTCACAGCCCACTCATACCACACCTTCTTGGAATTGCTGCATCGCCAGAAACGCACACAGATGGTCTGGCCTTCGCGTACCGTAATGGGCTGCTGTAAGAAGAAAGATAGGTTCAGGGTGGAGTTAATGACTTATATGTGGCAATGTCTTGAGATAAAATGATAAAACATGACTTTCCAACCTTCATGAAGTCTATTTGAAGTCTATCAGAACAAATAAAAGTATGACAAGTGCTGTGAACGTGCACAGGGTGCTATGAAAGGGAACGCTAACCTAGTCTAGGAGGTCAAGGAAAGTCATCTGACAATAGGAAGTTTAAAGAGACCTGGAAGATAAGTTAGCTGGGTGAAGAGATGAGCAAAGAACTTTCCAGGGAACAGAGAAGGGTGTGAAAGCCTGAGGCAGGAAAGATGGGGTATTAGAAGAACCAAAAGAAAGTCCACAGGGCTGAAGCAATGTGATCAAGGGGACAGGAGTTGAAAAGGCAGGCTAAAACAAGATCACACCAAGTCTTACAAGCAACGTTCAGGATTTTGACCTTTACCCTAAGGGCAGTGGGAAGGCATTGAAAGGTTTTAAGCAAGAGAAAGGTATGGTCAGGTTTGAGTTTTTAAAAGGTGATTCTTGCTCAATGTAGAGAACGGATAGAAGAGCAGTGAGAGTAGATGTGGGGAAGCTAAGCAGAAGGCCAGTGCAGATATTCCAACATCTGTGACAGGGATCCAAGAGCATGTGAGAGCAGTAGAACATGGGTCATACATAGCCAGGCATCATCCTGGGAGAAGGGAAGGGGCAGAACATCAGTGGCAAAAGTTACTCTTTAACCCATGGAGTCTTAAAGGCAATTCCTACCTTAATGGGGAAGAGGATGGGAAACCATGAGAACATCCCAGGAGAGTGAGTCTCTGGACGGATACCTGTGTGGACAAAACAATAAAAAAATTGAGGTTTTCATGACTTTACTTTTTGCCTAGATTGAGGGGAGTCCCTTCTGTGAACACAGAACAAGTAATCAAAGATCCCCATTCACTGATTCCTGGGCTCCCCATGACCCTAAATGAAACACGTACATTAGCTGCCCAGGTAGCATACTGTCATACCCCACCACCCACTGCCCCAGACACTCACTCAGAGTGATATCCTGATAAAGCACAGTCTCAAAGTAGCCTGCAAAGCCGTGAAGCACTGTGTTCACCTCGACGGGAAATTCCAAGGTGCAGTAGCGATTGTTGTCAATCATAGGATCTGTCAGGAAAGAGCTGTGTGGGTGATGAGGGGCCAGAAGCCCTGGACAATTTGATGCAAAGCATAAGAAGAACCAGGAAGGGGAGCCTAGATAGAGCAGACCCAGGACAGCAAGGAAAGAAACCAAGAGGGTGAGCTCTCACCCATCCAGTCATGTCCCACCCAGGACAGCCATGCAGGAACTCACCTCTGTTGGGATGGCTGAAGGTAAAACAGGGCTGGGGTGCAGACAGCTGGTGGAAATTGTGCAGCCGTACCACATAAGGCATCTCAAACTGGGCCTGTCCCGAGAGACAGAGAACAAGAGCTGGAGAAGACAGGCAAGAGATACCTACTTCCTCAGAGAAGGAGCTCAAGCCTCAGGGCCACAGAAACAGATGAAAACATGGTTTCACTTCAACTACTTTCCCACATCCCCACCTCCTCCTTCACCTCTTCATCTTCTCCAGTGGAAGAAACAGTTGATGCTAATACAGAAAAAGAGCAGGACTAAAGACAGAAGAGTCCTCCAGAAGAGCGTGGCTCTTTACCTCAGGGTCACGGTCCTTTTCCCGACAGGCTCGGACCTCATTGTACAGCTTGGAGGAGGAGATAGGAGCCAGAAAGGAGGTGTACTCTCCAGGGATGCTCACACCATCATCTGCAGAGCAGGAGGATCATGTTAGTTCCCAGGATGGAAATGGTGTGTCTGTACTAACTGAAGGTTCAAACGTCCCACATCCAAACAGCCCCAAGCAGCTCAACGTTGTCACACTCCCAGGCCAACCTGCTCCCAACTCCTGTCATGGGGGATTCCACTTCTAGGTTTATTTACAGAGTCACACAAGATTAAACCCTAAGATTTTCTAATCTAGTGGTTCTTAACTTTTGTAGGGTCACAAAGCCCTTCAAGATCTTGATGAAAGTTTAGCCCAAGGCACATATCATGTCAGCTCAGGGAGTCCGGACTTCACATTAAGAGTCTCTGCTCTCATCCATTCCCTTCATTTGCAGATGTGAACACGGAGGTTCAGAGAGATTACTTCGTTTGCTAAGGGCACTGACCCAAGTCCAACCCACCTTCCCCTAAACCCTGTAACCTCCTCCTAGGCTGCTGCCCCACCCACTACCAGCCCCCGGCCTTCCCAGCCGATGATCTATTTCCTACTCAGTACACCCCAGCCTCGAGGCACCTTTTAGGAAGTGCTGGGCTCCATCCAGGCACTCAGGTGAGAGTTCATTGTCAGCAAAGGAGCCCAGCAGCTCACTGACAATGATGTCTGCTTTCTCTGGAGCCACCCATTCCCGCATGTCTGATGAGACTACTGTCACCTGGCTTCCCCATTCTTCAAACTGCCAGTTCTCTAGCCTAAAATAGAGATGATACAAGTGAGGCAGTGGTAAGAAAAACTGGCACTGGGGGAACACAATTCCCAGCAAGGAGGCTGCTACTCACGTGACCACAGCATTTGGGTTCTTCTCCACAGCATATAGCTTGATCCGCCGATCAGCCTGCTTGGCTGCCCGCAGGGAAGCATTCACCAGGGGTCCCCGGCCTGCTCCCAGCACC